GCCTCAATTTGCACTATTTCTGGCAGTCTGTAAAGGCCCTATGTTAATCTGTTACTAGAAATCCACACATAAAAACCTTTCAGCATCCTTAAAAGCCAAAAGATGTATTGTGACAGAATTGTTTCAGCTCAAAAGCAAAATAAATTGGGTAGAGTACTGTGGCACCTTTCAGCTTGCTTTGTGTAGTAGATTTAAAATAACTTCCCAAAATGATTATTATCTCTTGTCGACTAACCAATGTTCTCTTTTCTTCCCAGTAACTATACATCCGACTGGAAATGGCTGGTAGAGAGAGCTAAAGTTGGCTGCTGTTGGACATGGCTTCAAGCCCAGATTTCAGAACTAGAGTACAAAATTCAACAACTCACTGACCTTCACAGGCAGATTCGTGCCACCAAGGTATTGTTAGTGGGTAGGGTAAAAAGGCTTGCACAAATAACCAGCTTCAAAATTTATAAATGTTTTCTTTGTGTTTGATGAGTTCTCCTGTCTAGACAAAATTAATATAAAATAAAGATAAATGAAAAGGTAGCTTCAGAGTTAGCATGCTAGATATGAATACAGTTATCCCTCCCTGTTTGCAGGGGATTCGTTCTGGACACACACACACACACACACACACCCGTGAAACAAAAAACATGGATATTGAAGCCCCAGTTAATATAATGCCGGCATTCTCTCTCGTGCGCCATCTTGTCCCTTCTGGTTTGCCATCCGCAGAAATTCAAAACTGCGAATGGGAAGGGATGATTGTACAAGAAAATCTTGATACAGAATCCCTGCTGTACTGTTAAAAATATACCAGTTTATCAGCTTAATTTTATCTTACTCCTTAGAAATCATGGCGTCTATATTGTACAGGTATGCCTTAGTTAACAAAGTAATAATAATAATACTTTTTTTTATTATAATACTTTTTTTTTTTAGATGCGTTCATGCACATTACTTTAACAGAAAATTAATACCAGATTAGAAGTAATATAGAATAAGGATAGGTTCCAACAGCACAAAAAAGAAGAGCAGCTGAACATGTTTCAGCAAACTTTTTATTTAGAACCAACAGTGTGCACATGTGAAATGAAACAAACAGGTCAGATAAGTCTTGCATGAGTAAACAAAATAATTTTCAACCTTGTAGGAATCACTTAAAGGCTTCTTCCAAAATGCATCCAGGGATGACATTTTCCTTCTATTGGGCAGTTATGAATTAATAACCTAGAGTTATGTATTTGTGACTGTTTCGTATTTACAACCCCTACATAGCCCCTAGTTTATCCCCAAGTAGCCCCTAGTACCTGTCACACTGGAGAGCACTCTAGGAGGGATGAAAATATCAGTTAGCTGCTTCCCAAATGTCAGGAGAATGGACTCCTGCTGATTGCAGTGGCTGCTTCCTGGTAAGTGGGGATTGGAGGGATCAGGACAGGATTCACTGTGTAAAATCCTAACTATATGCATATGTAAATCCTCAACAGGATTCCAGCTGACATTATTATTCTCAGTTTTGCAGTCTACCACATGTTATTGACTGGGATTTGGGATCATCAGTGATTCAAATTCTATATAAGAATCTAGAAATTGGTAAAATTTCAAATATTTTCATTATTATTAATAATATCCTATCTTTTCACCAGCAATGGGACTCAAGGTGGCTT